CTCACTATCTATCTATCTATCTATCTATCTATCTATCTATATTAAAAAGTTTGTCAGTTGCCCTAGGGTTTATAATATACGTTTTAATTAATATCGGGCTGCCTTCAAACAAAAATAGACCATTTCCCCATGTTCCCTTGAAGCTGAAGCTATTTGCAACAACATGGGTGGACCTTGGGGGCATTATGCTAATTGAAATCAACCAGGCAGAGAAAGACAAATACTGCATGGTGTCACTTATATGTGGGATCTAAAAAAAGAAGTTAAACTCATAGAAACAGAGAGTAAAAAAGTGGTTACTGGGGGCAGGGAGGTGGCGGAAATAGAGAGAGGTGGGTAAAGTACAAGCTTTCAGTATAAGATGAGTAAAGTCTGAGGACCTAATGTAAAACCTGGTGGCTATATGATAATACTGTATTATATAATTGATATTTGCTAAGACAGTAGAACTTAAATGTTCTCACCAAAAAAAAAAAAAGATAAATAATATGTGAGGTGATGGATGTGTTAATTAACTAGATGGGGAAATTGCTTCGTAATGTATGTGTATATCAAATCACCACGGTGTACACTTTAAATATCTTACATTTTTATATGTCAGTTATACCTCCATGAAGTTGAAGAAAAAGAAATAGAATAGGGCCGGCCGAGTGACACGTTGGTGAGGAATTGGCTTGGGACACCAGCTCTGAGCAGCAGGGCCCCAGTTCGGATCCCACATGAAGGCCAGTGACGCTGCGCCCTCTACAGCTAAGATGGTGAACAACAACTCGACCTGGAGCTGGGCTGCCGTGAGTCGCCAGCGATGGCATAGGCTGCAGAGGTACAGCCCGGCAGTGGACGTGAGCTTTCGTGAGCTTTCATGAGCCACCGTGAGTGGCTGTCCAGAGGCCGGTGACCAATCTGCCTCAGCCAGGAAGAGCGCAATGATAATACCAACATGGGACAGTGAAGCGACGTCCTCCACAACTAGACTGAAGAACCAAAGGACAGCAACTTGTCTGTTCTCCTTCCCCAATTCCCCAATAAAAAATCTTAAAAAAAAAAGAAACAGAATAATGCAATACTACCTTTGTAATGAAAATATTTAAATACTACTCACAACAGAAATGCCAGCTATGTACTGTGTTACTAGTTAATGTAACTACTAGCTGATACAACAGAGAAAACCTAAAATTGGCTGGCTTAACACAATGAAAGTTAGCTTTGTTCACATAAATTCTAATGGCAGTTGGCAGTGTCTCTCTGCTCTCAGGGATCCAGGCTGTTTCCACTCTTTCGCTTTACCATGGAAACACAGGGTAGCCGTGTTTGCGGCCGAGTGGAAGAGAAAGCATAGGAATGGCCCACTGACTTCTGTCTAATGACACATTGTCTGGCAATATACTTTTCCCCTTTGTCCAGGAAAAAGGGAAAGATAAGGTGTGGATAAGTACTTATAGTTTTTCCCATAAGCTGTCCATAGTAGGCACTCAACGAAATCAACCATTATAATGTGTTCTAACAACTCTCCTCATTTCTCGGAGGCATTCCTGAGGAAGCCAGGTTTACTTTGAAATCCTCTAACTTTTCAAGTGCCTACTATATGACAGGTGCTTTCAAACACAGGGTCACATCTGGTTTTCAAACGATCATGTAAATGTCAGCAGGAAAAAGACACCCTTCTTCACTCAGCCACACTTTTCTGTACTGCCCTTTGCAATAACCTGTATAGTATCATAGGCTGAGAATGTTCTTCCTTTTGATGCATGGTCAAAATTTTAACTTGTAAGCCTCTGCTACCATCCACATGACTGAACACCTGTACAGGCGCCATTAGGCAAAATGAAAACCAGGGTTTTCTTGTGGGGAAGGTACACAGACCAGAGGCAGTGGAATGGTATTTGTTTCTTCTTTAATCAGAGTTAGCACATCCACCAAAGAACCAATTTTCAACTCCTAGGAGAACTCCATGGTTTTAGGAATTCAGCTTTAGTAGATGTTTGCTCCACAGTGATTTCCACGGTCTTTCCACACCTACCATTTATGAGGGAGCCTTTGGTTTTTAACTGCCTAGGTAAGCTCATTCACCTTGGTATGAGTTCACTGGCCAGTTTCAAAGAAGACACCCCATTAAAATCCTACTGCAAATATCAGAGCGGTTAAAAAAACCTCTGTGTCATATCAGGTTTATACTCCCCAAACCAGTAGATTGTGTGCCAAGTCAGACTCTACTTACCAGCCCTTCTGGAAAACACCTGGAGAGTGGTTGAACAGGCCAGGGTGGCGGGGGAAGTGACCAGACAGGTGAACTTCGGTGTCCAAATTGAACTTTTAAGTCAAAGGGGCTGTTGCTATCGAAGAGGTTCCAGGGTGAGGGGTGGAGCAGCAAGGGGTTTTCTGCAAAGAGGAATGCTTTATGTCAGGGGACGGGCAGGTGATTCTAGGCTGTTCCACAGGGAGTAGGGCACAGTTCAGAGGAAGATGTAGTGAAGAGCTGGTAAGAAGGTCAGGTTCCAGGGTAGGACAAGGGGGCTGCAGCGCAAGATGAGGGGAAAGGCGCTATAATTCAGGGAAGTGCTGGGATCAGAAGGAGAGACAGACTCAGCTCTCAAGGAATCCTGGGATTCGGGCAGTAAAACCCCAGCTTAATAAAGCCCACAGGCAGTACCCAAATCATGTTTGATTCACAATGTCACCTTCCTTCTTTAGGTCTGCTTTTAGTATCCATGTGTGTGTGTGTGGCCTGAAAGACAATATGGAGAACTGAGAAGAGAAATGAATTAAGAGATGAAAGGTCTGCCTCAGGCTAGGAGGTATGGGATTAACACGGACTCTAGATGAATTTAGACCGGAAGTCTAGTCTCAGCCCTTGTCACTTACTAGCCATGTGATCATAGGGAAATTAGCAAGTGCTATGAACCTCAGGTTCTTCATCTGTGCGGTGAATTTGGTACGCCCTGTCTTGTAGAACTGTTGGAATACGTGTATATATGTAAAGCCCCTGTCGATTGCCTGGCTTATATTGGATATTTATGAATGGTGAGGAATCTGGCTTCTGGCTAAAAATCCTAATGTGTGATTTTTCAGGTGTGAGCATAGGTCATTGGAAAGGCTTTACCTGGCAGGCCTCCTGGAGGAAGCTGCCCTCTCCACCTCACACTGCATCACTGACGGATTGCAGACTTGGAGGGGATGGCAGTCAAAGACTCAGGCCCGTCTTCTCATACTGGCATTGCATTCTAGCCTTGTGCTTTCACTCTCAAGTGTGCCTATCCGAGGCCTTGGACAGATGTCCACTTCAGGACCTCTGCTGAGGCCTCCTTTTGGGGGGAATAGGGAGAAACCTTGAAGATGCTTTTCCCACCACTTTTCCACTGCTAGTGCTTCCCCCTTTTCTTCCTCTGATTCCAGGAGCCATAAAACTTCCAGAGCCCTTTGTTCTGACTCCCTCACCAGTAAGGTGACCCCCAGGTCTGTACTGATCCACCCAACCCACATTGGTGGAAAATGAAACAGAAGGAATCAGCCCTTCTTTCTCTTTGACACTCTTACTTATACCATCACAGGAAGTGATCCAAGGTTGAACTCTACTGTATTTGACTGGTTGCTTCAATCAGCCACTCTGACACCTCTTAGCTTAGCTCTAACTCCAGCTCAGCCGAGCTCCTGAGACATGGCAGTTGTTTCTAATATTATTTTGACCCCAGAATTGGCCACCTTCTCCTCTGGGAATTTGTTTTGTTCTCCAAGACCTCTCAGAGAAAATGCAGTGAGTGCTTTTAGACCCTGGACACCAAATCAGCCCAAAATGCTGCTTCGTAAGTGAAACTCAGTAAATGTCATTTTAGAGAATACATTATCTAATTTGGGTGTGGGTTAGTTGTCTCCAGTTGGATTCAACTCAAAGCTCCTAGAATTCAAGCCAAAGACCAACTCTTTCCCTCCCTCCAGGCTGCTCTTCCATCCAAAACACTGTTTTCATTCATTTCACTGCCACCAAAAATCTATTCCTGGCTTAGAGTTAGCCAAAGCGCACTCAAGATAACCTAATTAAAGTGCCATTTTAATGGAGGGGCTCTGGCTCTCCCAGGCCAAAGGAAAGAGTGCCAGCCTAGTGGTTTTTGGGTATCACTTCAAGGGAACATCACACATTATTTCGGAAATCCTTGCAGATGATGTGTCTAGAACACCTACTTCATACACTGTGTTCAACTGCACTGGGGTTTTACAAGAGCTCAGGACACCTTCCATACCTGCCCCAGGCGGAGATTTCTCTCTGGTTTATCCATGACCTCCAAGGAACTGCTACATGCAGTTTTCCATTCTAGACTTTTCTCTCAACTGTAAGACACGCTGTATAAGAGTCTGGCTCCAGCCACCCCTTAGCTTCACTGTCATCAACTCCCACAGAAGGAATCTTAGTTTCCCCAAGCCCCCGACTGCGGTGGCTCAGGGCATTTTTACTTGACTGCTTGCATCTGGAGCCCCACTGCCTCTCCCGTTCTTTGGTCAGCGCTAAGAGGAGACCTCACCATCTGATGTGATTGCTGCTCTGAGCCTCTCCTTCTCTGGGTAGCGGTGTGTCCTGCTGATCCTAATATCCCAACTGCTAACACAGGGCTGACTAAAGAGCAAGCACTCAATTCATGTTTGGGGAATAAATGAGCCGGTGAGAAAGAGATTTCATTTGAGATTTAATTTCTCCCATAATCTTGAGTAAGCCACACAAATGTATATATACTTTAATTTTACAGAATGACACACTAACAGGAACAAACGAATCCAAAAATTAGCCAGCCTGTATGTTTTTCCCTCTGTTCCTTGAAACTCTTGATTTTACTGCTGGGCTCTTGCACATTGCCAAGGAAATTCCTATTCTAACGCCATGTTATCTTGTGCCGGATCACCAGAAAAAAGACGGGTGCTTTCCTAAATTTCTTTTGCAAAATTGCAAAACTCCTATTCTTAAACCTGAGAAACAGCTATACATGTGTGACCACTGTCATTCATAAACTTGATTCTGAAGCTAATTAAACTTTTTATTACAAGGAACAACAATTGAAACAAACAAACAAAAAAACAATACATCTCCATATCACCCACATTGAACAGGAACACAAAGATGGTGGATACTATGTCCTGTCCAGATCCAGTCTGGCCCTCCACTACTTAGATCTTTGGCCATTGCCTTCAAATGAAGAGTGAAGAATCTTCCTCAGACTTCACTGAGGGCAGGAGGGGCTGCTGGACGTGACACTGGAGCTTTCCTGAACCGCGGCAGTGGCATCGTCCACAGCAGCTCCGACCCGGGCCCGTTCTCTCTCATCTCTCAGCGCCTCCTCATACCAGTATGGGAAGGCAGTGGGGTCAGTCCCACTGATCTTGGCAAAAAACTTCAGGACTTTCATCTTGCTGGTTTCCGCGTGGGCTCGTGGGCCCCACAGGAACTCGTAGCGTGGAGGATCACTGTTGGGGACCTGCTGGTACTCCAGGTAATTCTCCTGCACTAGATCTTTGGTGATGAGCTTCCTGGGCTCCCCGTAGATGAAGTCGTTCTTCCCAGCAAACACTCCCATCATATTCAGCACTTCCCAGATTTTCTCCTCAGGGGCACGGTTACCCTTCATGAAGATGGCCCCCAGGATAAGTACCAGGAGGCCGGTTTTGGGCATGCCCTGGTCATCGCTCAGCATCCCATCGTAAGTGAGGCCTAGCGTTTTGACGAGCACATAGGAATAGCTGGTGGGGTCCACTTCCTTCACTTCGATGCCAAAGACAACCTCCATGCACTCGCAGACTTCCTTGAAGATCACAGGGAAGTGGGCTCCGTGCTCCTTGATGACACTCTTCAGCATCTCTGCCTTTGTGACGGGCTCCTTTGTTATATACTTGACGCTCAGGAACTGCACCAATTCAGCCGTCTTCTTGTGGAGCACGTCGTCGGTGAGCAAGGACTCAGGATCCGGTGCAGCCTGCGAGGTGCTGGGCCCCTCCTCTTCTTGGCGGCCAGAACTCTCATCAGCTTGACTCGATGGAGTGGCTGCGATGGCAGTGGGGGAGGAGCAGGCTCTCTGAGAACTCTGGAGAGGGCTCAGTGTCCCGGTGGCAGGCATCTCCTCTGGGGTGCCCTGGCTCAAAGGAGAGGGACAGGAGGAGGAGGAGGAGGTGGCGGCTTCCTCCTCAGCCATGGAAGCCTGCAAACCCGCCAGGCCTTGTGCCTCTCTTGGGGCCTGAAGTTCTTCCTCAGGCTTGCAATGCTGACTCTTCTGGCCCTGAGACATGACTGGTGGTGGGGGCAGCTGGCAGGAGGGTGGGCAATTGGGACCCACAGACCTTGGGGAGAGAGGGAGAGTGTCAGTGACCCTAGTTGAGAAGCTCACCCATGATGGCTCTGAGAAAGGCAACTCCTAGGTCTCTTTAGGGGCGCTTTCAATCCTCAAAAGGCTCCTGTTCTCCTGGCCGCTAAGAACTGAAAAGAGGAAGTGAGACAACTCCCCAAGGTGTAGCCATCCAGGGTGTAGCCAGCCAGCACAGCCCGTGGATTCCAGGGATGAAAGGCTGGGTGGGGTTGGGCACCACGGGGGCCATTCTGTTGTGGGGTAGGTGGAACCCATAGTAGACATTCAGGGTGTGCACCTCACCTTGACTTCTGGTATTTCCTGGGCCTCCTTTAATATGCTGACCTGAGGACACGTGCCTCAGACCAAGGCCCTCACCTCCCAGTTCCTACAAGAACTGAGGGCATACCTCAGGATGCAGAGTGAAGATCCAGTCCTGCCCACCCCCCCCAGTGTTGCCAGGAGGGGTGGGGCCAGGCTCTGAAGTTCTGCTTTTCTTGGGGTAGATAGTTCCCTCAGGGTTCCCTCAGAACCCTCCTCTTTCCCGTGAGGGGATGGGCCACACTGCTTTTCTTACCACCTCTCCCTTCCTAAGGAGGAAGTGAGGAGGCACCATATTTAGCCACACTTGCCTCGGGCCTCCTGGGGCTGATAGCAGGGGCCATGTGTGTGGCTTCAGTGGGGCCTCCTTTGTCTAGGGTAAGTGGGCCCATTATGTGATTAATCTTGACTCCTGGCAGAGCCTGCTCCATCCCCCACCTTAGCTGACCTGACTTGCATCCACAGATGGAAGCTTCCACTCTCTGAGAGGAACCTCGTCGTCCCCCACCCTCTGTTAGAAGTAACAGCCTACCACAACTGGCCATGCCTGCTTAGTGTCTTCCAGGTATGGCAGCTGGGGTTGGGCCCATTTGTTCTGGGGTGGGGGTCCCCTGAGTCCTCCTTCAGAGTATTCAACTTTACATCTGGCAGGGCCTTAACCCACACTGCCTGCCCCCCGCCCGCCCCAACACACACAGACCCGTCATTTTGTCCTCAGACCTCCCTGAGACCACTGAGACAAAAGGGAAAAGATGCCACATCCAGCTACTCCCGCCCAGGGCTGGCAGCAGGAGCAGGGCAGGTTTCTGTGGGATGTCCTCTCTCTGGAATGGAGTCACAATTCCCGTATTTCCCCATGTAGAAGACGCTCCCGTGTATAAGATGCACATTAATTTTGGGGCCCGAAATTTGAAAAAAAAATATTACATAAAGTTATTGAACTCAAGTTTTATTCATCATAAAATTCATACAACTCCTCATTGCTGTCCAAACTCCCAACCATGAGCTTGTCCTCATCTGTGTCTGATGACAAATCACTGTCTTCATAGATTGCCTTGTCCTCAGTTCCATCTCTGGCATTTGAAAGCTACAACCACTGTATAAGACGCACCCAGTTTTTAGACCCCAAATTTTTCGAAAAAAGGTGCATCTTACACATGGGGAAATACAGTACTCCAGAGAGGGCTTAGGCCACTTCTGTTCTGCTGACCTGAGAATCCCTCCCTTAGGCCATGGCCTCAATCCCCCTGAAATCACCAAGAAGGAAGTAGCGGAGGGTTGGGGGAGGTGCCTCTGGCTCACAGCTTTGCCCAGGGCTAACAAGAGGAGTGAGCCGGAAGGTAGGTGGGGCCCCTCTGTGTACACAGAAGCGTTTCCTTAGTCTTCCCTCACCTTGAAGCCTGCCCTTCCTCAGACTTCTCAATTGGATGCTTGGCAGGGCCCGGAACTTCTCTTCCTGCTGACCTGAGGCTAGCCCCTTCAGACTGCGTATCTCATCTCCCTGCTGTCCCTGATCCAGAAAGGTCTAAGTCGGAAAACCCTACATTCAAGGCCCCTGCATAGGACCTCCCTGAGCTGAAAGTGGGCTCAGAACGGGCTGGGGCTCATAGTGTTCTGTAGTGGGAAGTCAGTCCAGTTGTCCCAGGGGATCATCCCTTTGACTTCTGGAACTGCCCCGAGCCCTCTCCCTTGGTGAACCTGACTGAGTCTGCCTCCCTCTAATTAAGGTGGTCGCCCCCGAGTTCCCAGCGTTGGAAATGAGGGGGGAAGGTTACTTATCCTGACAGCCCTGCCAAGAGTCTCTCCGGGCTGACATCAGGGGTGGAGTGGGATTGTGGGTGGACCCCTCAGTCCTCATTCACGAGGGTTCTCATCTTGGTGCCTGGCTCCTTGATTAAATAAATGCTCTCTGGGAGATTTGCCCTCTCTGCCAGCTGGGAGCGTTTGCCCAGCTGCAACTCTTCCAGAGAAAGGTTTTGGCTCCCAGCTAAATTGCTAGATGGGAGAGCAGCAGCACCCATGACAGGTGGTGGAGATTCCCAAAAGAAGCATCCTTTTCCGTGGTGTGTCTTTACCCACCAGACGCAGACTTTGGAAACGTTTTGTCCTAAAAGGTTATTCTCTGCACTGAAATGACAGAACGGTGTGATTTGGGGAGGCCCTGCTCTTTTGAGATTATCTAACATTGCATCATTCAGTACAGTAATTTCCACATGTCGTAAGCCTCACTGAAATTGAGAAGTGTATTTTACAATCCACCCTGCCATCCCTGATCCAGAAATGGCAGGGGCCCGGGGGAGGCTTGTGTTGTTCACCCTGATGCTTGCTATTCCATTTTTAGTCCGTTCTTTGTACTCTATGAAAATACTGTTTTAAAAGGCCTGGCTTTATCACTAAAGTGGTTTCAGGTGGTTATTAGCACGGACTCTGGGGTCACACTGCATCAATCCAGTTAATCTTGCCCAATATCTGACACTACTCCAGGGCTCCAGGCCTCCGTGGTCTGAGGCGGTGCCTCAGATTTGTGCAGTGAAACAGGGGCAGAAGTTTAAAAGGTTTCCTCCTACCTGCGGTGTCATCCCAAACTTCACTGCCGCCTCCCACTCCCCCTCCAGAAACCAGCACTAGTTCAACACAGGGTTTTCTCATGTTCTGTTATTTAGATGTTGTTGTTGATACTTTTGGTAGGCTGAAAAAGCTCACCCCCTACCCCACCCCCACCAAAGCATACCCCAGTCCCCAGAACCTGTAAATGCTGCCTTCTTTCGAAAAAGAGTCTTTGTAGATGTGATTAATTTAATACTCTTTGGGGGGGGGGATGACTGGATTATCCAGGTGGGCCCCTAAATGTAATCACGTGTATCGTTTTAAGAGGAAGGCGGAAGAATAATCAACAGAGGAGACAATGTGAACATGGAG